ATCACGTATGAGTTCAAGCACTTATTAGCCTCAGGATCAATTGGTGTCCAATTCTCTTTATTACTTGTATTAATTATGTGGGAAAAAATCTTTGTTAGATAAGAATAGCTATATATATGGTGGCTAATAAATGGTACAATGAAGTTTAATGACAGAATACATTAAAATAATTAGTTGTAGTAGATGTCGATCAAGACATGTTCAACGGAGAAATATATGCAAGTCACCTTCAAATTAAAGTTCCCCCCATTTTGAGTTTGAAAGTGTGGCATTAAAATCAGCTTTGTTTTAAAATCACATTCAAGAAAAAAAATAAATGCCGAGGTGAGATGGTCATTTAGAGTGGGAAGGAAGCAATGAGCTTGGAAGTTTATTTATGAAATTTATTTTCCTTATTTTTTACCAAATAAATTATTTTCTTTATTGGTAAGAAACTTATTTTTTAAAAAAATATTTGAAACATAAAAATTGGAAAACATTTTTCTTCCATGCTAATCATACCCTAAAATATGACAATTTTCTTTTAATGATCGTAGTTTTGACCCAACTTGCTGACAAAATATATTATCGAAAAGATTTCCTGACATGATTCATGAAGGTGTGTGCAATAGGGCACATACACCTTGTGCTTCTAGTTCATCATTTTAATTTTTTATTAGACAGAAAAATCAGTTTGTGGTGTTGTAATATATATATTTTTTCTTATGTATACATCATGCACTTCAAATATTATATAAAGCCAATGCCTACCATGCATGTTAGGGTTGTTAGATATTGACTTACAACTTGTTTGGATGACTATACCGTAAGATTTCATGATATATCATATTATATTATGTTGTTTTGATGAATATAATATTTGAATAAATTATATTATTTCTTATTATTTTATAATGCTATGCACCAATAATATGAAGAATAAGGTTATACTATTACAAAGAAAAAATAGAATACGGAAAGATAGAGTAAAGGGTATTAAATACTCACTCCGTCCAAATTTATGTAAAAATGTTTGAAGTGGGAGGGTCAAATCACTTAGTTTTGACTATGAATTCAGATATAGCTTCTCCTGATAATTACAAGTCAAATTAAAAAATTATAATGATCTCTATTTCTGCATTGAAATATGATATGACTAATTCTTCAAATTCTATAATTGCATTCAAACATTTGTTCTTTGCTTTTTTTTTTAGTCTACGTACTTATTTTGATTGATGATGAAGCAAGCAATTATACTATCCTTTTGAATGTTTTTGTCGTTTTTAATTCTAATTTGATTGATAATTTAACATATAGATTGTGTCAAAAGCTTTCAGCTGTGTTGTGATCTTTTGCTCTCTGTTATGAATGGGCCTAGACCAGTATTGGCAAATCAGCCCAACACCGGATTAAGTGGCTATGTGTGGGATCCGGATTGATAAATAGAGACTTATGAGAGAAAAATAGGTTTATGCGTATTATGATCATGCTTAGGCAAAGTCTAGATCTCTCATCCTGCTTTCTCTAAGTCTAGCTCCTCGTCTCCTTCTTCAGTCAGTCGATCCTAGTTCTTATTTTCAATATTTCTGTATTTCTGTTTGGGATTTTACCTTTTGAGTTGTTGCCTTTACTTGGTAGAATTGTAATTGATCTTTAGCCTAATTAATATAGTTGAGAAACGAGTTAGAGTTATCGCTGGATTCGAGTACATTACACTCTCTGTTTCAGCTGATCAGTTTTTGGCTGAATTCGTAACTTTTAATCTACATGTGCTTTGTGCTCTTGTTTCCATGTATTACAAATATACTACTGCAACAATACAACTTGTTCAAAATAAATATACTTATCCACCTTCGGTGTTTGCACCAAATTAGACAATAAATCATAGAAATCACAAATTTAAAGTGCAAATACGTATCACATATGATAAAATTAAGGTTTTATGCAAGATACATGTGTTTGGTGCAAACACTAGGCGCGGGTAAGGTTTTTCCTGGCCATTGTGATTTGTGCCTATCTAAAAGCATAGAACACGGACACTAGAACAATAACACAACAACTGTAATCATAAGGAGTTTTCCCTTTGCCATGAAATAGATATTGTTCACACAATATGGAAAAGGCACATGATAAATGGAGCTTATCTTATACAAACTGCATACTTTCTCTTTTAAGAGTACCAAGAAAGCCATATGCCTGCTTATGATCCTCCAAATTTGGTACAAATAAGACCATGTTCTTGGATGAAATAACTCTTTCTTCGTTTTTTTTATTTTTATTTTCATTTGCAGTGTTTTGGACTTTTGGTGCTTTAATGAGCATCAATGTGCATTAATTTGCAGCGCACAGCCAGAAGAATCATTCTGCAAAACACGATACATGTGTGCTTAATGCTGAGAATATCAATCCATTTATCATATTTGGACATGGTGCTATACTAATGTGAGGTTAGTAACGGAAACTTCCCCTGGCAGAGTGTCAACTATATGTTTCACTTGAGAATCTCCTTCCATTTACTTGAAATGTACAAGCCAAAAACATGATCACCTTTCAATCATTGAAGGTCTTTTAGCATCAGCAAGAAGGTTAACAATGTTATGATGGCGATTACCCAAGATTTTGCACGCCATTTTCTTCCATCTGCTGCTAAAAGATGTGTGGGAAGTGCACATTCTTCCCCATTGAATAGCAACTTTGTTGGAAATCCATCCCCCTTTAATATATCAATACCTTTTAAGTGTTTCTTATTAAATCTAAGGACAGATTGTTGCTTTCCGGGTACTCTAGGGTCTCCAGGTTTTGGTCCATCAGCTTCTGCCATCAAGTAATTTAAACCAGGTAGTCCTTTCAAGAAAATTGTGTCATTTATGTTTCGAAGCAAAGTTCCATTGAAAGAAAAAGCTTGTGCAAATCCTGAACCTGTTTTCTTGAACTGGATGCCAACGAACCAGTCCACGAAATTAACTGCTCCCCAATTGAATAGAGTAATCCGAGCAGTCCACCCTGATTTGTAGTTTGAATCGATATGCCAGTTTATGGTAACCCCACACTTGTCGCCACAAGGTAACTGCTTAGGGACATGATAGTGCTTTAGTTTAGCCCAATACAAGGATTTCTCTCTTCTGTTTGCGAATGGCACCAGAAGTGCTTCTGGAGGAAGAAGCAGTCCTGGTGCATTTTGACTACATTTGACAGAATTGTCACAACCACATGCACAAGTGTTGCAGGGGATTGCAGAATCATTGTAATAGGCACTGTATGAAACACAGCACCGATTCGCTCTATCTTTTGGCTTTGTGATATTGCAGACTATTTGCCAACTTGCAATAGCTATTACAGTAGCATGAAGTCCAGTTGGATCTAAGAACTGTGCTTCATCTACTCTTAAGGCTTGTCCACATTTATAATCCGGATTAAGTAGACCGACAATTTTCCATCTTTCGGGAGGGTAGAGAGCTGTTAGATTCAAATCTGGTGGAAGCTTATAGACTTGTAACTGAAACACAGACTTTGAATTGGTTGCATTCATTACAGTGGGCATGATGCTACCATTCCTGCAGCAGAATGGCAACATACCTACATCTTTATCTTGAGCTCTTTCTCGAGGCAAATCAGCTATAGTAGGTTTCTTTTCACAGTTCAAAACTTTAGAAAAATCAAAGTCTTTATAGTACTGTCCTGCAGCACCATAGACACAATTCGAATAGTCTTTCTTGCGAGTGTATGCACCCCTCATCGAGTATATGAACTCCCCTCTCATCCATTCCCAGGTTAAATTCCACTGATCAAGGCGTCCCAAAGGATTACTATTTTGTATGGTCACTTGTGCTTGATAGTTATTCGGATAGGCTTGCATAACATCATAAGAGATCAAAAGATCACCACTTTGCCGTGGGAAATACTTGGTGGTGAAATTTTTAACCTTAAATTTTGGATCTTTCACGCAGCAGACATGCATTTTTGTTGCTGTCACACAATATACAAAAACAAAGATTCAGAATTCAATCAAGATTCGCGAAAAAAATGTAGCTGATTTACACACTTACCTTTGCGTTTCGCTGCTGGACATTTATATCCATCATTGAAAAGTTTAATAGTTTTAGGCATGGGATAACCTGGTGGCTTGATTCCAAATTGTGTACCTGTTAACTCAATCTCTGCTTGAATCTTCTTAACATCACCAGCAGTATCAATCGACGTTTTCAAATCTGCCTGAGGATAGCCAGCTAGGTAAGTTCCATTTCCAACAGGAGCTGGAAAATCATCACCACTTAATAAAACAGCATTACTAGCTGAGACTAAAAGTTCGCGATTTTGAAACCCGATGAAGATTTTCCAGTTCTTGAGCTCATATATACCTGCATTAAGTACTGTTGCTGTAGCCTTAAAGGCCCAAGCTTGTGCAGTTGCATTCTTTACATGCGGAAGCTCTTTCGTCCTAGAGATGAATACATAGGATAAAAAAATACCATTGCAGTTATTTTCTGCAGGTGGTAATTTACCATCATAATCTTGTGCCTTAATATTGACAGAAAACAAGATTATGTAAAAGATGATGGATTTTGAGACCATCTTCATTATTTTCTACAAATTTTGAATAGGATTTCAAGATTTGGAAAAAAAGAAGAGAAAAGAGATATTTGAGATGACAATCTTGATTTAAGTGAAGACTTGGTCAGAATTCAGATGAAATTTTTTTCCTCCATGTAAGCTACGACTGAAATGGCGGGACCAAACTACCAACGGTTATTCAATCTTTTTTACTTTTATTTTTCATTAATTATGTTCTGTTTTTTTGGTATTTTGGTTATAAATTACTTGACCATTTTGCCCTTAGATCCTTTAGCAGTATTGATTCTGTTGTTATTAAATTCATCATGAAATAATAATTTTGAATCAATGTCCAAATCATGGTTTTATTACTCTTTTTCCAGCTCGATTTTTCAATAAAAGAAAAATAAATTACAGGCCATATTGTTAGATGATTTTATGCAAAGGGACATGAACTGCAACATTCTATTGGAGACATTGAGGTCCAAACAGTAACAATAACTTATACACAAAAAAGAATACCAATATCTACATATAATGAAACTAGAGGAAAACCAGGAGTATGAGAGAATCCCTGGAGATTGTTCAAATCAAATAATTAGCATTAGTACAATCTTCAACCAATAGACTAAACGATTCAACTCTTTACACGATCCTTCCTCGTTGTAGTTACAAGAAGAGGAACGATAAAACTAAGAGAAAAATAAATAGAAGAAATAAAGGAAAAAGAATTTATAATTCTCCCAAAACATTGTCCTGGTTTTGGAAGTTTTTAAGTTTTTCACCTTGTGTTTTTTTCACATCTCTAAGCCCTCCTACTACTTTTTTAGGTTTCTTCCATATTACTTTATAACATTTGTAGTGTAACACTCTCTACATCTACTCAAGTTTCTATACCCTCCTCATCTTTCTCGTGGATCCTTCCATGAGGACTATGAACAACTTTGATAGCTAGGCAATGACAGAATTTTCAGCAGTTTAAGCTACAAGTTTGTACCATTAAGCCACCTCTATGTTTAGTGGTTTAGCATTGCCTTCGACAAATTTAGTCTTGGATTTTTCTGCTCGTGATGACCTTGACGAGGATGATGAACCAGACCTAGGAGAGGATGTCGACTTGGCCTTCCTCCGCTTTTGTTTCTTAGGACCCACTGTAGGTGTTACGTCCCTGTAAAGATCAGATGATTGTTGCTGTCTCATTGACTCTGTGTAATCTGTCAAAAAGATGGATAAGAACCATAAAGTAAGTATCTACAGAAAATCAGGATCGATACATCTTCTATAACAAACTTTCAGCTAGTTTTGTGAATCAACTTATATCAAGAAATTCCAAAAGTTGGTATTAGAAATCAGTCCATCACATGAAATTCAGATATACATTTATGAACCGCTTCAAGTAGAATATGTAAAGATTTTGGTAATGAGTTTGCACTCAAATATATTAGCCAAGAGCAATGCAACCAAGTTGAGTGACCTATAAACAGACTGCATTGCCAGCATTTAAGAATCTTTTATGCATCAAAGTTCTTTCAAGAAAAACACAAGAAACTTGCACTCCCCTGATCAATTTTTTTACGCTGAATGTCACATGTCAAAATAAGTGATAACGCATAATGGTAATCTAAAGGAGTGTACCAGAAAACTTAGTAACACTAGTTTCTAGCTTTCTTATCCAAGAGGCAAAAACACAGAATACTTTATGAAACTTAGATTAGCTTAGCTTCAAAGAGAACTAAGATGAAAGCTTAATTGAGTGAAATGCCTGTATTACTAGTGAATTGAATGATTCCGACTCAAAGAATAATTTACAAGATATATATTCCTTTCTAACCTTTTAACAAGGGATTCTTTGGTAATCTTGATATTATGAAATTATTATATTAGTGTGTCATTGGTACTAGACAATATTTGCCCAACAGCCAAGATTAATTTTAGAAAAGCACGTCAAAAACTGTCCCTTTCTGGTGCCAAGTTAAAGACCTTTCTGTGACAGATAAGTCCAAAGCTTTCCCTGGTTTGAGGCAAAGAATCTTTGGGGTCCCTTTGGATTGAGGACTTTAGCCCTATGTAAATTCATTTTCACAAGCTTAAACTTTTCGCACCAACTCAGATTTACCTAATATAATTTGGATTACAAATGCAAACTGCAGTCACATTTCATTTCAACCTTATTTTTGATTCATTTCAAATAACACTTGAGAATATGTCATTCGGAAATCTCATGCATTTAAAAATGTAAATTTGAATTCTCCTAGGAGATACACACCCTTCAAAGAAAAACAAAACAAGATGAAAACTATAAAACAAATAAAAGAAAGAATTGTCCTGTCCATTTTAACAGATTTTTCTATACATTTGTACAAAACATAGGACAAGTTTATCATATTTCAATCAACATCTCAACCCGTGACAAAACCCTACAGCCATTGGGACATTGTCTGATTATAGACACTGCACATGTTTTAAAGCAACATATCAGACACTTGCTTTTTTTTCTTGATTCTTTCCAAATGATTCCAACTATTCAATAATATGTAACACATCTTTAGTCATTATTCTTGGCTTGTCACATGACAATTGGTAGTAAAAGGAGCACACAAGAGGGAAAAGGAGAGTTTTTTAGAGGTAAAATATTAACCTTGTGATGCCCATGGAGAATGTGCAGAACCAGAATTACCAATAGAAGTTGCTGCAAAATCAGGCCCAGTCTTGAATTCATTCATCTATAAAGTTCCAAAGAAACAAAATATTAGGTATAAATTAAAAAAAGAAGAAAAGAATCTTTCTTACAAAATGATGAATTTAGAAAAGGGCAGATACAAATATGTGGACCAAAGAATGGTGAAAAAAACTAAAAACATACCCAACTAGGTGCATTGCCTGATTGTCCATCCCAACCAATATGTGCCACATGCTTAACATCAGTTGGAAATCCAATTTCTATCTCCCTCTCCTTCACAACTGTAATCACAATAAAAAAAATAAACTCAAAAACTAAAATAGGGATATGGGGCTAAAGGGAAAAAAGGGAATTACCAAAAATATTAGAAATGTATTTGTAGATCCCCTTCATTTTGGTTCCCATAGAAGAGTATGTAAAACCCCAATACAACAAACACCCTCTGCTCAGAGATGAAACAGAATACAGATAGAAGCAGCACTTAAATGTGAAGAACCAATTCCTTTGCCTAAACCAAAAAATGCAAACACAATACTATAAAAATTTGACCTTTAATTACCCTTCTCAACATACAGACAGAAATTGCATGATGTAAAGATTGAATCTTTTTTCTGTCTTGGGGGTTGAGTAGAATACCTTTCTTGATAAAATCTGATAGAAAAGAAAGGGGTATTACTTCTCCTCAACTTACTGCTGCATTGCCCATCATCTTTCTTCAAGTAATCTAGGCATAATAAAAATGTAATAACCAAGAAACCAACCATGCAAAAAACAATAGTTTGAAATCAAGAAAAAAGGCGGAAGAGGGAAAATGTGAGAAATGAAAAGGGAAAGAAAGAGAAAAGTGGCAAATGGTACAAAAATAGAGAGTTGAAGAAGAAGAATTAGGGGAAAGAGAGAAAGTTAGAGGTGGACAACCACGAAAACCTCACAAAAAAGAAAGGGGTTGAGGTTAGTTTACAAAGAACATACAGACTACAAAAGGGGGTTTGGGGGTGGGGTGTGATTCATATTCTGAAATTATAGGAAAATCACACTTTTATTCCCTCAAATATCAACAAATCCTTATTTTGGTCTTCACGGTTTTGCACATTTAACATTCAATTTATCGATAGATTTAAAAAGTTATTAAGTGTTAAATTACTCAATTATCGATATATTTAACTTTGTGTTATTACTCTATATTTAAAATTTGATGGGTGCATTATTTATTCTTTTGATAGTAAATCTTTACAAATTTAAGGAACTATTAAATCTTGAATCACTCAATTATCTATGTATTAGAATATGTTAAATCTGTGTTGTTACTCCATATTAAACCTAATATAGTTCAGAAAATAATTATCTGAAAATCACATATAATTTTATATATATATAAATAGACCAAAAAGGCACATTTCATGTAATTGAAGGTTGAATTATACTTGGTCAAATAAAATGAGGATTAAAATCAAGATTTATCAATAATCAAGGGACCAAACAACGTAATAATTCCAAAATAATAATAACAATATAAAAATAGCAACGAATTTAAGAAATAGGATATCCCACTGAATTAGTTTTCATAATTAAAATGGAAAATAATATGATATATACTCCACTACTACAACATAAATTAAATAAATAACATTTAATGGGTTATTGTTATAAGTAGTGTTGTAAATGTTTTGTTGGCGTATAGGTGGCTTTGTTGTTGAAAGAGTAAATCGCGGAGTCCTGTCATTTTCTTTTCTAGTACATAACTACAAATATATTGAAAATTGTTGAAATTAAATTTTTAAAAATAATAATTTAAAAATCCCAAATTTCCAAGAAAAGAAAAAAGAAAAAAGAAAAAGAGGAGAGATTGAGAGCCTCTTTGGATTCGGTTTAAAAGTTGATTAAATCTACCTATTTTTAAGTCATTTTTAGTTTTTGGAAGTGTTTGACAAAGTTAAAAATATTTTAAAATAAAATTTAAAAAGTTAAAAGTAGATACTCCCCAACTTCTTACTTTTTAACTTAAAGTTATTAAAATTTAACTTTTTTAAAAGCTACTATTTTTTAAAGTTAAGCAAACGGAGTCTGAGTTTTTTTTCTTTTCTCTTGATAGTATTGGGTGGGAGTGGTTAGGTAGATAAAATTTCAGCATCAGAAAATGTATAGTTTGGTTAATTGTAGGGATTGGAATGGCAAACATAACATGTTAATTTATATTCTTCTTCATGGAACTCAATCCCATATGCTACCTACCCACCCTCCACTCCTCCCACCAAGTCTTTTCTAGCCACATCCACTACTATATATTTCTTGTCCCTAACTCACCCATGCCCACATCAATCCTTTCCCTATCAAATTTGGAATTCTTTTCTCAAATTGAATAACACACTAATTCTTGTTTACCATCTATTATTTTTTTAATTAAATATATTGATAATCTTTTAAATTTGTTAGAAAAATTCATTATGTCATTTAGACATTCAAACTATGATCTATTTCGATTGAACACATAAACATGGATAAAGTGTATACATATATTATTAGTGTTATGTATTATTATAATGTTATCCAATTTAAAATATATTTGAAAAAGATTATAAAAACAAACAATATTTCGCTAAGACCCTTTGTGTTTTTACAATAGCAACACATTTCCTTTCCTCCTCCTCTCTCCCTCTCGCTCTTTTTTTTTTTTTTGGTTAGCATGCCATGATAAGCTAAAGAGTTGAGAAAAGAGGTAATGGGGAACATCAAGTTCAAAGTAACAATATTAAAGATGAAAATAAGAGTGATAATAAATAACATTTTATTACATTTTTAAGAGTTATGAATATATAAATCATATTTCTCCACATGCATGCCTACTTAATTCTCTTCAGTTTGAAAAGAAAATTTACATTATTATTTTTAATTAATAGTATATATGTAATGGAAGGGCTAGAAATTTGAGATGGAGAAGAACAATTAAGTGTTCATGAAAGGGAATATTAACAATATATTTGAAAATATTTTGTAATACTTACTTTTCTTCTACTTTAAGATTTATGTTGATTAAGTGTTTATTTTCCTTATACATTAGATCTATGCTAATGGTATTTTTTTTTTAGCAATATTTTTTGATAATTATACTCCGTATTTCCGTTCTTTCTAGTTTAGGATCAGATTTCTCTAATTTCGATGGAACCCTAATAGAGACTATTCATACAGTGGTCAAAACTCTCGTACCAAATCATTTACAAAGTAATACTCCCTCCGTCCACAATTGTTTGTCAGGGTAAGGTCATGCACACCCCTCAAGAAAAATTTAATAGAAGGTGTAATTTGACTAATATAATCCTACTATATCAAGAATACCAAAAGTCCACATAACTTTTCAATTGAACTACACTATCATTAAGGGCAGAATTGGAAAAAGGTGATTAATTGTTTCTTGATTGTTTAAATTGACAATTAATTTTGGATATCTTTAGTATACCTGCCAAATAATTATGGATGGAGGGAGTATAATAAATAGATTATTGTTGATCTTGATGACATGCCTTCTGTATTCAGGGCGGTATATATTAATCATATTACCGTTTACCCATATTCTTGTATTTTACATCTGTAATTCTGTTGACTTTAAATTTTACTATGCCAATTTAAATCTGTTTTTTTTTAAAAAAAAAATAAACCTACAATTTTGGATTGCAGTCTAATTCAATTACAAAAGTCCTTTCTTAATATTTTGAGATTTTTATATATACATGCTTGTAGCATTTAAGTCCATCCACTTGCAGCCAATCATAAAAGTCTTATCCTTAATTTATTCTTTTTTTCATAATTATTAATTAAGATATATAGTTCAAGTCTTCTATTTTCTCATTGGTCCATTTTTTTTCTCCTTTTAACGAGTCCCTTTAGTTTAGAACAAAATAATTAGTTAGAATTGAGATACCTTAATTAAGTACTATCAAATAACGGTATTCTTACCAACTTTCAGGTTTTTTTAAAATTAAAGGTAAGAAATCAGAATAAATAATCGAATCTAAATCTTTAGTTTAAATTGTTTAATCCAAATTGCATATGTGTCTCCTAGAATCATTCTCCTTTTAGATAATTAATATATTTGTAGCATGACACAAGTCATGTGGCGTTCTCTAATTTATTTATTTTCACTAGCAAAAATCCCACCTAATTGCTATGTGTAATTTAGCAAATGAAATTAAACAAAAATTAAAAAACAATAATTGGAAGTTGGAACCACGTTTGTACGTAATAATTCTAATGCAGCATCGTGGAAGTTTCATATTGTTTCAATTAGAAATGTGTTGATCACCTTCAGACAGCTGCTGCTTTTAATTCTTAAGTCCAAATCTTGAAAGATTATTATTCAAGAATTTTATTCTCTGTGTTAATTAGTAGTTTTGGATTATAAAATTTTAAAAAATAAATCAGTTTTGTATGACGTTACATCGGAAATTTTGATGCAGCTGTAGATGATAGATATGAAAGGAATGTTATAACTAATTAATTGGAATCAACTTGATGTACTGTGAGAGATTAATTATTTCTTTAATTTGACAAAGATAGCTATGGACATGACTTGAGAAAAAGTCGAACTACATTAGATATATTGTATTTTACGTCTTTTTTTTTAAATCTTTCTGGTCATACGACAATAATTCTTATTGTTATGCGGAGAATTCCCTTTAATTAAACAACATTTAGATCAAAGGCTCAAAGTACGTCTATCAATTGGAAATTGATATGCATTTGTCGAGTGAATAATCTAATGATGAAATTAAATTGCCAATAGTTTATCTGCCGTAAAAGGTAAAAACCTACATTTATTGAGTAGTTCTACCTGCTAATTAAATTGATTTCACAATTAGATTAGCCTATGCAGGTCCAAAAATACAAATTTAGGCATGTAAACATTAGGGTTAATCACCTATATTATAGTTTTTGATCTCAGTCGGTAAAAGGTTTCGAGTTTAAATTACAAAAAATGATGATCTGACATCGGCCCAACTCATCGGGTATTGTAGAAGTAGTATTACCTAATAGCTCAAAATCATTCATTTCCAAATGCATTTTTTTGGGGGGGAACTACCTTAGTTGTAATCGCGCATCAAAAGTAATAATCAAGAAATGTATATTTTTTGTATATTACCATATGATATACATAAAATATACATTCTTGATACAAACTAGTATATATATTCTTGTATATTTAGCTAGCAAATGACTAACTTTCTACTAGTTTGAAAGTTCAAATACGAAGGACACTCCAGTATCTTTAATCCAAGAACCTCCTTGAAGCATCAGACAGTCAATTTCATAGTCACAGAAGTTTGAGTAATTACATGGTGTATTAATTTACACTTTTGCTAGTATTAGAACCTGGCCCATTTTTTTTGTACTCACCATAGTACAATGTGTCCAAGCCCAAATCACCATCCCATGGGGCCAACCTTCTGGATCTATATAATTCTCAATGTAAGATTCCATGTATACTGTTGTTGAATATGTTATAACTACATATACGTGGTAGAGATTGTCATACACTTCAATATATATATATGTATAGATGTTACCAAAGATGAAATTGACGGTTCCAGTTATGTAACAATCCTTGTAGATTTGACGTTGGTTGTGGCGTAGAGTGGGTCTTGATACGAATATATTTTGCAGCTGTTGATGACGGATTTGTCCCCAATAACACCAAGTGCCACGGTTTTGGTTCTGCCGTGTTTTGGAAATGCAGATTTTGTTTCTTGTTTCCTTTCTTTGTCAGAACATCGTAACTTGTACATAGTATACTTGTACGACTCATTAATTCTCAGATGGAGTAGTATATATATTTGTAGCTAGGGCACATTCAATTCTCAGATCATGTCATGTGGCGTTTTACTTTCTTTTTAAATTGTAAAAAAAGTACTGCAATAATGTCCACGGTAACTCACTAAGACCCGAAATGATCAATTGCAGTAATGAAACGTAAAAAAGAGGTTAACTTTAATTACAATAACACCTGCCAAGTTTATTACTAATTTGATGATCGATCGTTCACACTGGGCGGAGAGCCACAGCTCATCCGTATAATATATATTATTAGAAACAACCTTAATTAAAATCACCAAGCAAGCATAATAATATATACTATAAATCAAACAAGTTCCTCACAACCCTTCAGTGTAAGCGACACCAGTAGATTTTAACCATGCTGCTCCTTGAATCAGCTGACCCACAGTGAATTTTGTGGCCTCAGATATTGTTAAGGCATTATGATAACCAGGCCAGTTTACTCTCTTACTAATTCCAGCACCAGCTCCTTTGTTCATGTACTCACCATAATACAATGTTTTCAATGCAAAATCACCGTCCCATTCTGACCAACCTGCTGGATCAATATGGTCTCCAATATTGGACTGCATGTACACTGTCCGCGAATACGCTTTCCATGGTCTACCCAAATATGTCTTCACGGACCCTTTCACTGGTGCAAGGTCCGAGCTAGGAATAATATCACAATTCTGGATTGAAGTTCCTGTTACTTGGTTTGGATCTTCACGACCTTGAGCCGTAACCATGTTTTTCTGTCCGCTCATGGGCTTTCGGGCTGCGAGTTTAGAGTTTTGGAACACAACTGCTGCATTACCGAAGATGAAATCGACAGTGCCAGTAATGTAACAATCTCTGTAGAATTGACGGAGAGTGTGGGTATATAGAGTGTCCTGGAATGCATCTATTTTGCAACGGTTGATAACGGACTGATCTGCTCCAACACGAAGGGCCACTGCTTGGTGCTTTTGTGGCCCTGCTGTGTTTTGAAATTGTACATCTTGAGCTATGAATCCATCCCCAACAGCAGCTGCATTAAAAATAAATTAGACAACCAAAGTAATAAACAAGTTCATCTTCCAATATATATTGTTACGTACCACTAATATATATGTTCTGTTCTAGTTGAATAATACTTATATATGTAATTTAGGTCTAATAGTTTCGATCGGCAAAAAACATTTAAAGAGTATAGTGAGAATTAAAGAAGATTTTTTACCAACAGTTGCAGAGTTGAAAGTTGTTGCACCATCCACAACATTCAAGTTGCCAGTAATAATAGTAGCATCCATGCCATCACCCACAAGCATTATATTCTTCTTAGTTTTCCCAATCTCAACATTTTCTTTATAAATTCCTTTTTTCACATAAATAACAAATCTAGTCTTACTATTATCTGGAGCAGACGCAACTGCTTCTTTTACGGTCTTATATTTTCCACTACCATCTTTAGCCACTACAACATTGGCTGCTATAGCATTAGCAGAAAGTTGCAAAAGCTTTCTATCATTAGCACTAACCCATGAGGGCAATCCATCATCACTAACTGTTGGTAAATTATTATCATTCTTTGGTGGTGCAATTGCAACCATCAAGGCCAAGGAAGTCCTTGCTCTTGCTACTAAATCATTCAACATAGGCTCCATGATAGACTGGGCCTGGCCATTTAGCCCATCTATGCAAGTAACATGGTTGGTGAGAATGCTACTTAGCCATGAATGAACATCAAAATGGGCTTGGGACGATAGGTTCCCAAGTCTCATCATGGAGTCCATTAATCTATCCCTTGACAAATCCATCAACTCTAGACAATCTGCTAGAGCTGCTTGTTCCTGACCATTATTGATCCGACCATTTACATTGCTCGCCAAATGGATCGTCTCGTGGATTTTTAAGGACGATTTATGCAAAACCATCTGTAATAAATCAAGTGTTTTTGTATCCATCACACCAACAGGTGCAACCTCAGACAGCATGGCTAAGCAAGATGGCTGATCATGAGCTGTATCACAAACACGGGTTGTTAAGGAAATTGATGGGTTAGTGGCCCAGATTGAAATTAATCCAACTGAGCCCACAATAGTAGCTAAGGAGAGAAGCACATAGAGAGCTTTAGTAGAAGAGGAGGATTTTGTTTTGGGAGAATCTAACAATGGTTGAGAGGAATAATTTGTTGCCATGACTTAATTAGTACCAAAGTGGAATGAGCTTGAGTTTTGCTGTGAATATTGTTATTGCTAGTGTTCTTAAATAGACTAAAATATACCACCACTAATGTCAATATTCATTATTGTTTCTTGTTTGCAACTTGCAAGGAAAAAAAGTATACAATAAAGTAGCTAGCTAGAATTTAATAAAACTACTACTTTGAATTATTTACAAGGTGGGGAAGGGATTCACGATAATAACAATAATTCCTTCTTTTTCATTTATTTAATATTGCACAAATAAGTGATTTTATTGGTAAATATTTTTCACCAACACTAGTATGTGCTTGGTGAAACTGTAGCAAGTGAAATTTAATTTTTCCTCAAGGTTCATGAGTGATCTAGATAGGAAAACTTTGTCAGAACCTGAATATATAATCACTACATTAACAAATAACAGCTTCAGTGGCAATGACATAATTATTGTTGTATTATATATATTTAACGTCAATACGCCGCTAAAGGTTTTAATGACTGCGAATGTGATAATGTCATTAACTCACGATAAATATTTATACGGTACGGTAAAAGGTAATAATTTATTGCTAGTAAGAGTCTGTTTAGTTGTAGTGAATTAATCTAATTTATATATGATCAATACCAATTATGAGAGTGAACTTAAACAAGCACCTTCCAGATATCTCTTCTGTTTGTGTTTATCTGAATTCATGTGATCCATTTACTAAATTTTATTCTTATCTATTGCAAATTGCAAAGTGATCTAACTAGACCTTCACGTGAGAAGCAAGGTTGATTGCTTATTAAAAAAATAATTAATTGTCACCTTCGAGTAATTAAAATTAAAATGTTCTACCTACTTTGCAAATCAAATTTGATTTGATGGGTTTAATACGAATCAATTTATGTTAAACTAATCCATTTTATATATGTATGATGAAACATCACCTTGCTATTTTTTATAACTACTTAACTAGTAAATATCGATGAACTTTTAATCGGTAAAATTCTATTTAAATGCATGTTCGCCACGAGACTTGCAACTATGAAAAAATAGTACTCTATCCATCAGCTTTGTTTGATAATATTTTTTTACTTGGGCACAAATTTAAGATTTTTTTTTTTTTTTTTTTTTTAAAAAGTGTGGTCTAAAACATTTTTTTTTTATATATGTGTGTGAATATAAATTATTGAAAGGAAAATAAAAAATTTAGAGTTAAGTTATTAGTATTAATCCTCGTAACTTTTATATACCCGTGAGAGAATCCAAAATCACATTGCCCTGTATAAACAAACAAACTTTGCACAACCAAACTTACGTAGAAAGCATTCCAATGGATCTCATTTGCCTTTAAAACATTGAAAAGTCAATTGAAACAGTAATGGATCCATCTTTAGGTTATTAATCCTATAATATAATCGGAGAGCATTATAGTTGAGGCAGTAAAGTCGCCGAACTAGTCTCTAATAATTAAAGCTCTAATTCACCATCTTATTAGGCATGCATCTATATATATATAATAAAATCCACTTATATTTTTATATAGTTTCGTATTTAATTACTACTAATTAAAAGTTTACTATCAGATATTAAGGAAGATACACCTAATACATGTATTTTTGCTATAAAATACATAAAAATAGGGAGAGAGACGAGCGAGATGTGGAGGCATACAGGAGACAGGGGATCGAGCTGGAGAGCCAGACATGCATACACACTAGGCGTGAATTCGAATTCTAATTAGATAATATTTATTATTAATAGAATTTGAAGAATTTCAAATTCTTAGTATAGATTGAAGTATCGATATCTCTAAATCTAACTGAGTTCGTATAATAAGAATAAGTGCAAAGAATGTAGAACTGTAGAACTAAATAAATGGACTTATTCATCTCCTCCATGAGAAAGATATGTTGGTATGAATTTTCCAATTTTCTCATGTTTGGTTGGGTTAAATGTTTTCCAAATCAACTCATTTTCCTCAAATTTAAGGAAAATGACGTCCCTTCAAAACTTAAGCAAAACATTTTTCAAAACTCTCTTTCAACTTCAAATTACAATTACTTTTTTTGTTGAAAAAAACAATTTATTTTGTCCCTACCCTCAAATCAGCCCCCCAACCACCCCAACCCCCCAAAATAATAATTTTAAAGCTTGTTTTTAAATTTAAATTTAAATCAATTTATCAAAGTGGATTCACATGTATCTAGTATCAGAGATTGGTGAGTGAGATGGGAGGAGGCGAATGAGATTTGTCTATGTATATCAGATACATGTGAATCCACTTTGATACAGTGTATCTAGAATAAATTATACCTAATTTTAACTTCATATATTCCTAAATACATATATCTAGACGCATCAAATTTGATAAAATTTATAATATTACAAAATAAAATATATCTAAATAATTTGATCCTAACTAATGAGATTTTGGGTAAGTTTCTAATTATGAAACTTATTAATATGTATAGTGTGACCATGATCATCTGATGAAAGTACTGGCCTTATATCACCTTGGATAGAATGATAAGTATTTCCTTGACGAGAGGGAGCTGCTCAGATGATAAGCACCCCTCACTTTCAACTCAAAGGTTGCGAGTTTAAGTCACCAACAAAAGGGGTGGGAGTTCCTAGAGAGGGTAAAAAAAAAATATTCCCTTTATTTTTAATCAAGAGGTCTTGGATTTGAATCTTTTTAGGTATGGAGTCACTTTTGTTAGGGAGTGCTTCACTAAAAATTTTCGATGCAAATAAAATTTAGTCGATCTCCACATAGATACAAACACCGAATGAAAAAAAAAAAAAACTCTCACTCGACAGACTACTTAACATTTACCAATTTTATAAGTAACATCCACTTGGATAATCATGTTATGGATATTATTATTATTCTTCTAAATAATTATTAAACCTGCTGATAAAGTCCAAAACCATGGGCGTTGTTTAAGCATTATTATTCTCTGTTTTGAAAAAGCATATTGTGTTATTGACATTATTTAAATAGTAATATATGAACATGCAGTTACATTCATGACTTTCTCTTTATAGTGTCGGTCTTCGGAGTTTTAGTTAGCTTTCAATTTCCTTCACAATCTTTGTGAAAAGAGGAGAGCATCCAATACTGTCAATGTGAAAACAATTTTATCTTTTTCATATTACTATGTCTCTAGAGTCACTAGATTTATATTAGGTAACTCACAAACCCAATCACTTATTATCATTACATATGAATTTTATATTAAGGTCTATCATGTAGAAGCACTTATATATATTTCATTAAGGGTAAATGATATATTTTGAAGTTAATAAATTATTTTTTAACTATAGTAAGATAACATTTTTTTTGAGATGGATTAAAAGGGAAAAAATGACACATGAAATGAAACGGAGGGAGTATAGTTTTACTAGTAAGAATTGAAAAATGAATCGACCTTATTCCTGTTTTTATGAAATAGAAAGTTATGTTATTTTTTTTTTATAAGCCTTTGACTTTTCCAACTAATATTCCTCTTTAGACGGAGGAAGTAATATTTTACACTAATTTCACAGGTTGTCACTATGCAACTCCATAATCTTAATTATTTTCTTCTTGGTGATGCATTGATAAGGTTGGTAGGTAAGTAAATGAATGAATATATATAATTTACCGGGCAATCTCAAAGTCCCCACGTGATTGTTGTTTTTATAATATATAAGTGGAAGTCATTGTTGACTTGTTGTGATGTTTATTGATAGCGAATCATCTTGTCGTTTAATTTAGGTCACTTTATAGTACGTGAGAGATGGAAGCAGTGGCGGAGCCGTAGTTAGGGGTGTCGACCGACACTCCTTCGTCACAAAATTGTAATGTATAGTTAGAGTAAAGTATTTTTTATGTGTACTATATATATTGTATATTGACATTCCTTGACTTCTAAGTGATTTTACTTCTTTATATTTTGACACTCCTTAGTCGAAGTTCTGGCTCCGCCACCGAATGGAAGTGAACTTTCAAATAAGATTAACTTCAGTAGATTAGCTAAATTACTAAATTTAAAAAAACTTACGTGTAACTGGAGTTTAATCATTTTATTCAATTTTATTGAACTGATTAATGATCCATCAATTATTAATTCAGTTTATTTTGATGACACCCTAACACATTTTAAAGTTCACTCTTCCCTCTAGGAGAAAAAAATACCCCCATCATATTTCCTCGTACTACTTTTCAAATTTGAAACTAATCGCCTAAATTAAATCCTCTATTCGATACAAATTAAGTCTCTATTTAAGCAAAATATTCTTTTGGAAAAGCATGCTCTCTTTTTTTTGGTTTAAATAGAAATTTTATAAATACTTAATATGCATCCATACAAGACCGGTGGTCCGAAATACTACTAATTCCTGACTTGCTAGCTACAGAGTTAACAAAAATACTATCCGATATACTAATAAATAATGCAACATGAATTACTTTAGATTATTCCATTTTTTAAATAAAAAAAAAAGCATGCATGAGTGGTTGTTTTTAGTGCCCAACAACCCATTTAAGTGATCATGAAAACCAATATTTTAAATTGGTTTGACACTATTTAGGAACAAGTTGATGCTTGTGGTTAACAATGTAAATTATTTTTATACTATACGATATTAAATATGACAATATAAAAAATAAAGTATTAATTACTATAAACACTTCTGACAAGCATTTGTCGCAATACTTAGTGTAAATAAAAAAATTCCTCACACAAGAACACAACCCAACCAATTTCAAATAAAACAATTATTTCTTTTATCGAATTCGGGCTAGTTGGTATAAGACATTGGTGGAATGTGTTTTAATTTGTATACCCGCATTATATATCTATTCAATACAAAAAAAAAAAAAAAAAAAACTCTATTCCGATTCTAACATGTGTTAGTTTTGTGAAAAGAAAAACATGAACCAAAAATTGTATTAGTTGCTATATTTTATGTATAAAGAGGAAAAACTAACCAAACAATACTGCATAACATATGCTAGATTTTACGGAGAGATTATCTTTTTCTTATTTTTTAA